TTCACATGAGTAATTGAGTAAAATTTCATCTTTATATATTCTGGAGCCCTGGTGTGGCATTGTAGGTTAGAGGTTCTACCCCGCCAGTCAATCTTCAGAAACCCTAAGAAGCATTGTCTTCAGTCAAAGCCAATTTGATGGTACTTAACAGTAATAACAACATATATATTCAGAGTAAAAGGATTGCACTATGTGCTGGGAACAAAAGTAACATAATAAACAAAGTGTTCAATAAGTCTAAAGTCTAATAAAATTATAGTTCATAGGGTATGAAATAGATAAGATGTATTCCTGGGCCAAAAATCCTCCTGGTATCAAAAATGAAACCTAGAGGACTTGAAAAGATGTTTTATTTTGTGATTATCTAGTCCTGGTGTGCTGCTGTAGGATATGCACTGGACTGCAAGGTCATTTCAGTTTCAAGGTTGGCAGTTCAAACTCTCCAGCCACTCCTTGGAAACCCTATACAGTGTAGCTATAAATTGGGGCCGTCCTGACAGCACTTAAACAACACCAACATCCAGCAAATAGAACTTTAAAAAAGTCATATTAAGGAATGAGGATTCAAACTAACATTTAACTCTTTTCATTAAAAAAAAAAAAAAATCATTTACCCTTTGTTTCATCCTTCCATTAATCTCTAACATTTTATATGATATTTATAGATTATTGCATACTATAATTGAGTCCTTTGTTCTAAGTTGTAGAATAATCTTTAGTTTCTTTAGTGACCTGTCACCTAGAAATAGGAATCATTACTTGAACTTAAACAAGTGCAGATCTTGACTTTCTTTACAACAGACATTAACTAAATTAATTTCAAATCCTAATGGTTGTATGAGCGTGAATCAGAAGATCTCATTATGTCTTTTAGAAATCTAGAACTTACCTTACGTGTGTAGTTAAAATACAGCTATCAGTTTTATTTGCTGGTCCAGTTAATTCTAATTATAGGTCAGATCTATCCTGAATGCAGGAGTTGAATGACAGCTTAGCAAAAAAATGAAATTCCAACTTTTAGTCACTTTTTTTATCCTGAGCAATTATCTTTAGTGTTCTCCACATAGAAGATGAACGTTTTACAAAGTTATAACGATACCTTGGACTCCTGGTGTGGTGCTGTAGGTTAAGCGCTGGACTGTGAACCACAAAGTTGGCAATTTAAACCCACCAGATGCTCCGTGGAAACTCTGTACAGGGTTTCTATGAGTCAGAATTGACTCGACAACACTTAACAACATATTTACTTAAAGAAAAATAAAATAATGTAATAGTGGAAAAGAAGGTGAAATATAGTTCAAATCAGTGTGACCCATCACCAAACAAGAAAAGAAGAACTTTGCTTGCATATGTAATATACACTAAATCTTCATATTTGGTTTACTCACATTCAGTCAGCATTGTCAGTTTACTCTTTCGCTAAGGAGTCCTGATGTGGCGCTGTGGGTTAATGCGTCAGACTGCAAAGTCAGTGTGAACCACAAGGTTGGTGGTTTAAGCTCACCAGCTGCTCCTTGGAAACCCTATACAGGGTCAGTATGGGTCAGAATCGACTCGATGACACTTAACAACAATAGCAACAATCCTAAATATCACTTTCTTATAAATTTTAAGATGCATATATATCAGTCATTTTTATAAAGTCTTTCCAGTTTATGTATAAATAAATCAGTGTGAAAATGCTACAAAGAAAGAAATACCCCCAAGAGTTGGTCATCGTTTTTATAACTGCTGCTGTTGTCGTTAAGTGCCTTCAAGTCAGTTCCGACTCACAGCGACCCTGAATAGGATTTCAAAGGAGCAGCTGGTGAGTTTGGACCACTGACCTTGTAGTTAGAAGTCCAATGTTTATCCTACAGAGCCACACCATAACTCTTTTTATAACTGCATGTAACAATAAAATCCCTGGTGGCATATAGGTTAAGTGCTGGACTGCTAACTAAAAGGTTGTCAGTTCAAACTCATCAAGTCACTCCACAAGAGAAAGATGTGGCAATCTCCTTCTGTAAAGATTCCCAGTTTTGGAAGCCCTATAGGGCATATCTGCTATGTCCTGTAGTGTCACTAGGAGTGAGAATCAACTCAGTGGAAGCTTGTTGGGCTGCTTTGGCACTTAATATTGTCACAGGCCTCTGAACCCTTTTCAATAATGATTTTCTATTTTGGTTATCTCCTTGGAATGGTCTTTACTTGCTCAGAGTTTATACTTCTTAAGGACAACTCCAGTGAACACCCTGTCTTTGAGAAAGAAAAGACAGGGTAAGTTGTATTACACTCAAGGAAATAAAGAAAAGGTTCAAAGTACAGAACTCATTCATTTCCAAATCCTTTTCCATTAAAGATTATTTTCTTCTTGTTGTGAAGTTCCAGCTCACAGTGACATTGTATAGGTTTTCTAAAGTCATAAATCTGCGGGAACTGAAAACCTTATCTTTCTCCTGCAGTTTAGCTCAAACTGCTGACCTTGTTCGCAGTCCAGTGCCCCTACAGAGCCAGCGTACTCCCATTAAACATGATAGAAGTAGAAATAATGGTGAAATCTGTAATCACTGATTTTAAACTTGTAATTTACAAGTTTCATGTGGCTCTTGAGAATTATTTTTCTCTCCCAAGTATCCAAGTGTAAGTTTAAATTGCTGATAAAATATATATTCTCTTCTAACCTTGCCACAGTGGTCTTCATAAACTGATACAATGGACCATTTCACAGCAAAGCTGTTATCTTTCATGAATTAGCCTTCACAAAAGTCCATTCTTCCTGAACATTTTCCTTTAATCTCTTGTTGCTGTAAGGAGCGATCTAATCAGTTGAGAGTCATAGTGACACTGTATAGGGTTTCTGAGGAGCAGCTGGTGGGTTTGAACTGTTGACCTTGTGGTTCTCAGTCTGGGCCTGATCCCACAGCCCCACAGCAGAAGTCCTGATATCTTAATCTCTTATCAATCTTTTGTTTATTAATGTTAGAATACTAAAATTTTCTCTTTGTTCTGTTATTGTGTATTAATAATTTTTTAACTGTATTATTCTCCTATTCTGGGTAATGTAAATGTATACTTTTGTGGTAGTGTTTGGTCTCTTGAGATGTTTGCTGGATGTACTTACAAACTTCTCAAACTGTTAGTTGAGCTTTCAGTTATATTGGACACAACTTTGAAAAGGAATTATCGCTTCATAACTTAACCTGAAAATGTTGCTCTTCCTACAGACAGAGTAGAAAGTTTTATTAATTAAAGAGAGGACATTAATGGCACCAAATAAAGAAATCTGGCAGGAAAGGTTTTGTTTTCTTTCTTAATTTTTATTTTTATTTCTACTCTTTCTTTCTAAGGATATCATGTATAAAAACGCTTCAGAAGGAAAGTCAGAAGACCCAGCATAAATAATAAGTCCCTTATTTGGTCCAGCATTTAGCTTCAGAAGGAAAAAAGCAAGTCTTTTCCTTGCTTGGAAACCTGACTGCCAATATGCTACATGTTTGTTCGTGTTAATTTTCTGCGTAGACTTTTCATTTCTTTCTCATGCTGTTCTGTTTGAGATAAATAAATTTACCTAAGCCAGTAGATAGGGCCATATTATAGGTTTTACTTTGAGTTCCACAAGGTTTGGAGACCTCCTCTTCCTGGCAGAACTAGGACTACTGACTTGGGTTGTCTCAAAAATTATAACTTGTTCTGAGGTGACTACATTAGGCCTCAATGAACAGAATACTCTGGAGATCTATCTAAAATGTACATAGTTGTGGCATGTGAACGATTTTGTTCACTGTACTCCACTATCGCTTTAAATCAGAACACTCATGCTGGGAGGGGTTGTAAAAGAAGTGGCAGTTTTGCTGAATACTCATGGTATTGTCTTTTGATTATATGAGGACTAATACCATGAGTATTAGGTCAGAAGCAACACTTATTTTACAGCCTTTCAAAGCATGGGTGTTCTCCAACAGTAAGCACAGATTTAAAGGGATAGTGAAATCCTGGTGTGGCACTGTAGGATAAGTACTGAACTGCAAGGTCAGTTTGAACCACAAGGTTGGTGGTTTACACTCACTAGCTGCTCTTCAGACACCCTATACAGGGTCGCTACAAGTTTGAACCAACTCAACGGCACTTAATAATAAACACCATCTTCCTGGAAGGTAAGACTTTCTGCTACTGCAAAGATTTACAGTCTAAGAAACTCTATAAAGGGTTGCTATGAGTCAGAACCAACTACCACCACCACCATCTTCATTTTAATGTGTCCCTGAATTTTGAGGGGAAGGATGGAGATTTTTTTTTTTTTTTCAATACATGTGTCTTCATTGTCTAATGCTATTCTAATGAAAATACCACAATTGGGTGGCTCTAAAGATCACTTATTTATTTCATCACAGTCCTGGGGCTAAAAGTTCAATCAGGATTTCAGCCTTTTCAGTTACTTCCTTGCCAATAGCCCAGGTGTTCCTTGGTTTGTGGATTGTGAACAATATTCTCCTGGGACTTGTCTTCTACAGTCTGTGTGTGTGTCTCTATGTCTAAACTCCCATATTTATAACCCAGAAGCAATTAGATTTTCTAATTCCTACAACTTGGGCATGATCTAATTAACATAACCAAGACAGCATTCATAGGTACAGGAGCCAAGTATGCAATACATGTGTTTGGGGGACACAACTCAATTCCCCAAAATGTGATTCATGGAATGATTAGAGAAAATAAAATGAGAATTGCGGTATATAAAAATGTGTTACTGAAGGACAGCATGGGAAAAAGAGCACGTGACTGGAAGCCATAAATCTAGACCCAGATATTCCTTGCTCCAAGGTCTGTAGCCAAACTACTTCACCTTCTGGGTCTGTAATTGGGGAATTAGGAATTGAGGGTTTTAACACCATTTTCTAGTAAGAAAAAAGGTAACTTTTTCTTGTAGTCATTCTAGCTTGAATTATTTTGCAATTATATCACCATGTCAGAATCTTTAGCAGTATACTAATTTTTTTTTTCTATCATTTCATTTACAGGACCCTAAGTTACGTGAACTTTTGGATGTGGGGAACATTGGACGCCTAGAGCATCGCATGATAACTGTGGTCTATGGGCCAGACTTGGTTAACATCTCCCATTTGAATCTCGTTGCTTTTCAAGAAGAAGTGGCTAAGGTATGATGGATGGGAACTTAGGAAGCATATCACATTGATCTAGATTCTTGTGTTGCCTGTGAAAGACTGAGTTTTTGTCATGCTTAGCATGCATTATCATTCAAACCAAAATAGAAAAAGTCTGTTGCCAAATATAAGTGTAACTCAATTCTAAATAATAGCATCTATTTAGATTTATGAAGAGTGTACCATTCAGACAGAATAAGGCACTGGGTATAATTCCTTTGCAAAAGAAAATATCGTTAAAACCACATTCCATTTTACCTGAACATTTTATCCCAAGACATTCTCTCTTAACCTCATCCCTGAGCCACTTACTTCTAGCATTTCCTTTCCAGCCCTCTCCTTGAGAGAATATCTTCATCACCTTCTTAACTCCTTTATTTCCTACACAACACCTAACCTACATCCGTATACTTAGCAGTTCCTCAACTAATATATGAACAAATGTAAATTAAGTTAACAAGTATGTATTCAACTATTGAGTAGATGACCAGTCCATCAAGGAACTGCTAATTTACTAAGCTACTAGGTTGTTCAGATGCTTGCAGAAATAACTAGAATACAAGGCACCATGTATCAAACTTATAGGAACTCTGGACTCATATGATCATTTGTCTAGAAGACTCCAATTGTCAGTAAAATAGAACAGAATTTTACATTAAATAATAGTTTTCTTTTTCCATATTTATAGTTTACAAGATACTATTGATGATTCTTAAGGAGCCCTGGTAGCGTAGTGATTTTCACAAGCTGGTTTGCTAACCACAATATCAGTAGTTTGAATCTACCAATCGCTCTATGGACGCAGCATGAGACTTTATGCTTTTGTAAAGATTTGCAGCTTTGGAAACCCAATACAGGATCACTAAGAGTTAGAATCAACTCAATGACGCACAACTACCACCATCACCATTGATGATTCTTAACCTTCAGATAATTTGCTTGGAGAGTTGATGAAATGAGTCTACGAAGACTTGGAAGCTTCTATGTCATGTATGTTCCCATGAAAAGCTTCTCATGTCAGGAGTCACAACTACTGAGTCATGTCAGCTCATATTGTCTTTGTATTTTGACCTGTAATTTTTAAACCCTTAGTGCTCTGTCAAATTCATAAGCTACATTGGATATACTTACCCAGTATCTAATGAAGTGAAAATGGTTTATTGCCAACATTTACATAACATAACATCCACTTCAGCTCTTAAAATGGAATAAATAAAATGTCAACCACTTTTAACACTGTGGTGTTTAAAAGCTCTGAGGTCTTTAGGTCTGAGAATGTGTTACAAACCTAATCTGTTTTCTCTCTTTTTGAACCAAATTAACTGTTTTTGCTTCTATAGTATAATTTATGCCTGACAAAATTTCATTTCAATGATAGCATCTCTGTGATTGAATTCTATTTGCCTTTCTATTATGTTTATTCTGGTATCCTGGTAATCTCCTTTTGAATTGTATATAGTTCAATTCTCAGCATATGGATAGATGATTAAATAAAATGATCAACATAGATAAACAAAGTATTTGTAAGAGATTTGTAAAATATTTTCCCTAAATATAACTATAGTCCCTAAAAGTGACAGATACATAAGGTTATCTAAACCTCAATTAAAAAAACAAAAAAAACCTTTTCTATAAATGATATTATTGACTATCAGACAGACTTATATTAAGAGTGAATGTATTACAAATTAAAAACCAATCTGTATATATTATATTGGATCAAACCTTTATGCAGTTGTATTCAAAACATATATAATTTCTTTCACTCTATGGGCTACTACACAGTCATTTTCTTTAGGGATTTTAATTTCTGAGTCCTATGATATTCCTGAACAGAACTGCATTTATAGAGATTTTTCTAGATGTTACTTGATGCACCTGGTATAGCTAATAAGGCTAGAGAATATGTTTTGCTTTCCCTGGCTGTGATATTCTTTATGATTCTCCCTGCCCTCACCCCAGTCCCACACTGAAATTACTCAACCAGTGATTAAAATTTCCAAACATCGTTTTACCCTGAAAACTTATATTTCATCCATCTAATTGTCAATTCTTTCTCATTTTATTACACCTTCAATTTCATATTTGAGGTCAGTGAACATGATACTTCATAACATAACAGACTCATCAGATTCTTTAAAAGCCAAATTTGTTTTCAGAAGTTGCTTACAAATGGAACCCAGCTCATTCATTCATTGAACACATGTTTGTTGGCTGTCTGATCTGTACCAGCCACAGTGCAGTGTTAGGGATAGAGCAATAAAACAAAACAAGTCCATCTTGCCAAGGAATAGATCCTAGTGGAAATATACAGATACATCATGATTAAGCATGGAATGTATCCTATGTCAAATGGAGACCTGGGAGGAAGAATAAAGCAGGAGGAGAGGGAGTGTGAGAATGGAAGAAGGGTGATGTTCTTAGGGTGATCCGAGATTTTCAGGAAGTTGTTCAATTGCAACAATATCATGGCAGATTTTAAGAAAACCTCTTGGATCAATTAATTTCAAAATCAGAACTAACTTTTAAATTTTCGTGAAGATACTTATCCCAGAATTCATGTGCCTTTTTTCTTATTTAAATCACTTGTAACTAATTTTTTACAGTGATTTCATTCCCCTCCATGTACCATCAGGGAAGAGTATTTATCTCCATTTCCTGTACTCCTTTCCCTATGTCTTCCCCTACCATTGAATTTAGTATGTATTTGATTTTATTATGTATTCTATAAGACAAGTAACTCCTTTAAGACATGGACAGATGAGAAAATTGTGTCTTTCCAAGTTTTCCTGCTGTTGGACTGAAGATGTGATCCATGTCTTGCAGTGGATCAGCTGTCACACTTTTGTTAACCAGCATGAATTTCCAGTCTCTTTGTATCCTTAGGGTAAACGCTCCCTTCACTTTCAGGCATCTTCAGTGAACTAGCTTGGGAAATAGATGGTTTGTTTCACATTTGCCTCTTGAGTGCCACACCTCTACCTATGACTCCCTTTCAGTACCCCTAGCGACCAATGGACATATCTGAGTGTGTTACCAAATGGAACTCCAGGACTTCAATCCCCTCCTTAGGACTCCCCTAACTCTCTCTGAGGCCTCAAGAAGAAATGAATATATCCATCTTCCCCCTAGTCTCCTACTCTAGTTCCCAACAGTGCTACCGCTCATGGCCACATGCCTTAGGGCAAGGTTGGAAGAATCAGCACAGGAAACTACAATAGAGGAAGGGATGATAAATAGGGCTCAGCACATGAAATGAGGAAAAAGAATAGAGGCAGATCTGTGACTAGGCATTCCCTGTGTAATAGTCACATTTCTGTACCTTAAATTGGACCATCTTGTTCACCAGAGCATTGTTGTTGTTGTTAAATGCCACCAATTCTATTTTGACTCATAGCAACCCTTTGTAGGGTTTCCAAGGCTATAAATCTTTGTGGGAGCAGAAAGCCTTATCTTTATCCCACAGAGTAGCTGGTAGCTTGGACCTCCAACGTTATGGTTCACAGTCTAATGCTAAAGGTACAGAGCCACCACACTGCCTTCACCATGTCCTTTAATGGGAAAGGACACCGAATAATATAAAAGTATATCGTCTGGGAGCTTGTAACTTGAAAATTAATGCATTCATTTTTCCAAAAGAAAAAGGGAGACTGATTTCAAATTATGATTTAAGTAAGCCAAATTTAAAAGTTGAGGAACTTACAATATGCCACTTGCTATTAAACCAACAAAACCCGAACAAACAAGGGATTACTGCTGTATTAGATAAATATGGGCCATTTGCATGCTACAGAAAATAAATATCTCTTCTAGTAAGACCACAATTGTACTTTTGTGGAAGAGAACTATACAAGTCTTTGCCCTAATAAGTAAAATGAGACCTGGGGTTGGAGTTCCATGAGGGATCACTAAAGGAAGAAACTATAAACCGGAAAGGCCAGCTGGATTCTTCTACCAAATGGAAGAGGTCTCCACGACTATTTGAGTAGACTCTTTGTCCATCAAATAATGGGTATTGAGTTCATTCATTCATGTATTTACTCAACAGAATTTTATGAAGCTTTCTGCGATGTGTTAAGCTCTGTTCTAAATGCTGGAATTAAACAGTGAGCAAAACAGATAAAGATCCCTACACATAGAGAGCATACATTTGAGTGAAAATGAGAGGCAATAAATAAAATAAAGACATAAGCCATGTGGTTTATGGGAGAAGATATGTGATTTCAAGACCTATAAATAAGGACAAAGGAGAGTGGGCCCTGGGGTAAAAGCTGAAATAATGGATTGACCCAGTTTCTCTGAGAAGGTGATTTGAAACAAAGACTTGAGAAAGGTGAGGGAGAAGCCATGAGACTATCTATAAAAAATTTGCAAAAGCTCTGAGGCAGACAGTTATCTGGTGTCCTTTGAGAATGTCATGTTGGTAGGAGCAAATTGAGCAAGACTGAAAGGATGTCGTAGCAGAGGGAGATAAGGAAGTAAGAGAGTTTGTTCCTTCTAACTTCTAGGGTGGTGTAGGCATTTATAAGGGACTTAGGCTTTATTCTAAGTGAGATGGAAGCTATTGGAGCCAGAGGTGAGGGGCATGCTTTGACTAAACATTGGAGTCAGTAGTGGACTGCAGGCGGGAGAAACGCTATGCCACAGAAAGACCAGTTAGGACATGTACTGACTTAGGCCAAGCTGCTGCTATGGACAAGGTGAGAAGAGGTCAGAGTCTGAATGCATTTTAAAGGAAGAACTGATTCCATGTGCTGGTGAATATGAGAGAAGTAGAGTTATGCTAGAGTTCTAACTCAAACAAAATAGAAGGATGAAATTGCCATACACTGGCACTGAAAACATTAAGATTAGCACACTTGAGGGCAAATAATAGGAGTTTGTTTGGTTAGGGTTGGGATTTTGATTTTGTTAAATGCCGTCGAGTTGGTTCTGACCCATAGCGACCCTCTAGAGGGTTTCCAAGGAGCAACTGGTAAGTTTGAACCACCAAC